TTGTTTGTATGCCTATCTTTCTGTTCGTTCCACTGCTAATTTCAATGTGCCTTTGTAAAATGCTAATCCAGGTACCAAATCGTATGATTTGGTGACCGTTAGATAAGTGAATTCATTATTTCTATATTAACCTTCTCAAACCTAGAAACCCGAGAACGCCTTGCCGATATGCATAGGAAATGCTACCGCATCTCTAATTAGTATTAATTTACTTATGTGGTAATTAGTAAGGGAGTAGAACGCTTCCTTACAAGGTAACAGCGTGGGTGTGAATCTTTGCCTTATAGATTCTCTGCCCGAAAAAAAACCTTAGCTGTATAGATTCTTCGCTTTCTTAGTAATTTTCCATTTATCTGCCCAGAATAGGATCATTATCATTATCAAACAAAATTCAAAAGTTTTTAATTTTTGTAATCGTTAAACGCTTCTATGCACATACACAGGCGCCTATTTTTATGGGACAATGAAAACATTTTACCGAATTGAAAAGGTATTGTTGCAACAATTAATATTTGAAACAATTAACCTTTATTTAATGTAGTATGTAAGCAACAAGCAAACATTAAGTAGTGGTTTATTTCAAAAACTTCCCGTCTAGCATATTACTAATATAACATTTTATATGTTGTAAAAAAAACTCTCAGTTGACCATAAAACCAAACATATTGCAAAGTGCATTTTTTAAAGATACTTGAGTGATCAGTAAAATATAGTTTGTATTAGTATGGAGAAATATACCATATTAATTGTCCAAAATCAATTCTGCATAGAATTTATCTAGCTATCCATTTATTTTTGTAGAATTTCTTTAATTCAGTGTAGCTTTCTAAATTATACAAAAATTTTTCTTGTGCTGATAAAAGCGATCAGGCCAACAGCAAAAGAAAAATTTGTTACTACTACTGCGCCAAACAAGTACTGTGTGCGTTTTGAAAAAGTTCTACGTTTTTTAAATCACACTCATTGCAGAACTTAGTAATAGACAGAGCGGGTGAGCGATCTAATAAAGCAACAACACTTTTCGGGTTCCTCCGCGTCTTAATGAACTTTTTTTTCCAAGCGCGACACTTAGATTAACTAGATGGGCTTAATATTTTCCAGTTATAACAGTTTCACCCGGCTTTAGAAGCTTATAGTAAATAGACTAGCCGTAACTTATTAATAAAGAAGCTCCAATACAATATATTCTATAAATATGCAGACCACAACATGTTTATACAAGAGAGGAAGTGTATCATTATAGTGTGGAGGAGAATCTGAATCCAAAAGAGAGGATATTTTACACATCTTTATTATACATAGAAGCAACTATACTTTCACAAGTAATTTAGCGCACGATCAAACTGACCAAGTACTTTTAGAATTTTCTTGGTTACGGGTGAGTGATATTTCGTACTACGGGTGGACAATTATGCGGACGGATTTGTTATTAGTAAGGAAGCAAAACCTTTCCTTACAACTTCTTAATACACACTGAACGACAACTTGTGAGCAGCTAACGCATTCATAGTACAAATAAGCGTACAATAAACGAAAATCAAATTTTTTTTGATAAAAAATATGAATAATTTTTTTTCATTGTTTTTGCGTGTTGTTTTCTTGTAAGATAAGGAAGTTGTAGGCTTACCGAAGTCGGGTTAGAAATGTTATTAGTACATGAATTCTACATCATTGTTATAGAATTATTTACATGAATTCTCCCCATGGAGTGCGACAAAAACACCCCATTAGTAGGTAAGCGCACATTTTTTGTACGTTACCACATTTTTCGCACCAACATTTTTTGCTGTTAGCAACGAAAGGATTTGACAATTACCCTTGCAAAAGCGAAAACTCTAATAAGAGACGATTTGAAAATTGGGTGAATCTTTGATCGATTTTATTTGGAAGTATAATGAACTATAATTTTCTTCATGTTAAATATTTAAGGAATCGACAACAGATCATTCGCCGGGTTGGAATATAAAAGGATTGTTGTGAACGCATAATGAACCAATCGACTGAATTTTATGGTGGTTGAAAAGGGAAAGATACGTATAAAGGTCGGACAGTGAAAGGCAACTACTTAAGCATGCGTATGTGCCTATGGAAGTAAAGAAAAGACTACTTATAACTAACGACCTTACACTAACTTGACGGTGCGTTTAAATTACGAACATATTACATTGTGTTTGTGTAAGCCAAAAACGGTTGGTGGGTTGGCGTGTGCTTCATGAATATTAAAAATGTAACTTTTTTCTGAAGAAAAATGTCCTCTGTACGATGTAATCACTGAAATCTATTGAAACATCTAATGAAGATAATGTTTTGAAATTGTCAATGTAAACAAAACAATGAAACCAACAATAAAAATATATTTGCTACGTTTCTTTTGGACTTTTCTTCGTATTGGTACGCAAAAGACATAAATATTTTATTCAGAGTGATGTTATATCAAGAAATGTTTAACAAAGCTTTTTTTCTAGAAAAGAAAAGAGAAGAAAGAAGCTAGTAGTAAAATAGTTCCTAAGTAAAAGCACTGCTCCCGTTACCCTAAAAAGATATTAAAAGCTCCGTGATGCTTGTACTCAAGTATATTCTAAACATTTTCTTAAAAGTTCTAAATGATCGGTCGTGGAATTCTATAAAGTGCATAAAAAAAAAATATAATTCATAACTATAAAATACAAGCAAATTGTTAGCACTGAACATTTTACAGCTAACAATTTCGTGCGCCGTGTTAAAAATATCCGTTTCGTCTATTTTCATGAATATGCGGTGCAGTTTTGCAAGAATCTAGAGTAACACAAAAATGAATTTAGAAAGGGGTACGGCTAAGTACGGATATTTATACTTGTTCTTACTCCTACATATATCTGTGAATACATTTGCACGCATATACACGATAGAGGATCACGGGATGGAGATAAATCCCTTTGGGAAATCGTCGCTAATGAAAACATTCACCGTCGAGGCACCATAAAACCTCTTACATATTAATGGCCGCAATTACAGTCAACAAGACCGTAGCTAACAAAGAAAATTTCGCTAACAAAGTTTTTAGTAACGGCAAAAACTCTATGTATTCCATAATAGCTCTTAAAATAGCAATAACCAGCAAATAAATACGACCAAAAGGCTGACGGCCAAAAATTAAAGTGGGTAAGAAAGTACTAACTGAAGCAGACAGACACGAGTTTGCGTAAAAATGATCTAAGCAAATCCTTCGCTATTGACGTAATAAAAAAAACGCCATAATTGAAGGTTTTAAACGAAAATCTGTATACAATACATTTAATAGAGACAAGTTGCCACAAACACTGTTCTGAGTTACGATTGCTTTCGAAGCTAATAAATTTGATACAAGGCCAAAACGTTCCCAATATAGAACTTACGTTTTCACCGCACCGAAAGATCGTAGTAGTGGAACTGCCTAAAGGTTGAAGGGATTATACGTAAACTTATTGTAAATTATCTATCGTGTTTATTGCACGCATCGATCGTCATCTACTTGTGCATCCAAGTTTCGACAAAGAAGTAAAAAGTGCACTAATTGTTGTAAGGGTCATACGCAAACTACCCAGACTGCCCAGTGTATATGCAAATCAAATTAGGTTCTGCGCCTAATTAAGCTCAACAACAAAAAAGTTAGTGCAAAGCGTTGCAAATCACATTTAATCAGTTCCATAATCTCAAACTCTAATGTCCAACCCACTCGACACAAACAGTCTTATGAAGTTTCAATTGCATCACTCATTCAAATTATGTAATCATTAAGGCAAGCAAAACACAACTTGAAACATGCAAAGCATGATGCAAGACATGATTAATAATCGTAATCTCTTAATGCAAGCGCATTTGAGAACAAGTAAATGCGCTATGCACATGTCATCGAAATGTGAACACCATGCAAGAAGTGTACAAAGTGTATTAAAAGTAGAAATACAGGTATGTTGCTTAATCCAATTTGCACACCCACTGTGGTTTGAGACATTATGCGAATAGGGATCGAAATGAACAATGGGAAAGGAGCCATTGTGAAAAATGTAATGTTTTTGCAAGCCACTTGAAAGATGTATTTCCAATCAAATCGCTATTCGCGGTCACATCAGCTAGAAACATTGCGATGACAAATAATTTTCCAAATTCTATCAGGCAAGCATCCACAGGCCTATTCGCACAACTCTACCACTACTAATAAAAGTTATTAACGATGTTAGGACATATAAAGCTTTTGATAAAAACAACGGGGAAATGCTTCGTGAATTCCCAAAATACGCTCTAAAAGTCTTATTATTTATTTACATAGTTGGAAGAAATCAAATATTATTATTATGGTGCCTAAATCGAGGAAAGATGGCACGTTATTAGTAAACTGGAATCCTAAAGGTCCATAAGTTTTCGCATAGCGTCGAGTTGTTTGAAGGAATTCAACTCAACAATGTTAAATTGATGCACATCTGCTACACATCCACTAGTAAGATTTAAACAGTCATAGCAAGGTAGCATTTTAGGACACCTAATCTAAGTTCCCTTGCAAACTACCTCATATCTTCAAGGCAAACTCAAAGGAGCACAATAGCAGTGGCTCCGAATGGCAAATACATATTCATCCTACAAATTGTGTGAACATTAATTTTAAACTTAGAGAGGAAGCGTATGCTCCATCCACAAGGTTGGAAATTGCACTTGCAATCTTAAATTAGATGTAAGACTTTAACACTTATTGTAAATTCCACTAACAGCAATATTCGACACATAATTGAGTATTGAAAAAAATCGTGGGTTTTACCAGGCGTTATAAAGGTAAAAAAAGAAGTTTAGTAGAGGCAGCTTATGTTGATTTTATTGAATTCGGCGTTTAATATTAGATATGCCATATTGATTTGATTGAATTAGCTAAGAAGCAATATTATGTATCTGGTTTTCCGTTAGATAAGGTTCTCACGTCACAGGAAATTCTTTTAACTCTTAATATGTGTATATATATATACATATATATATATTTGTTTATTACTTACCAATCCGACTAATTTTCCTCTTCTGAAGCATAAATAACGTCCTACTTCTTTCACAAATAAAGCAATTTTGAAAGTTTCGCTGAAAATATCGCCTATACTTTCCATGGTAAAGAATTCTGGAAAGGTAAATATTGTCATAAAACAATTAATAGAGCTTTCTCGCAATAGTCAAGCTTTTAAAACCCTAACTCATATCCTTATTAGAACTTAAGTTGATATTTGTTAAAGTGTTTAATACTTTTTTCCTCTTTATCATTATTTTATAAGAGAATTGGCCTGAATTACGAAAACTCAATATTAAATTTTGTTAGAATTCATGTCAGCGAACTAAGAATTGCATTCATTTTAAGACGAACACTTCAAACTAAGTTCTTATATAGATATTACGTACATGAACGCTGGTTTCGTACTTATCATAAATGATGACATACCAGAAACAAAAGGCAAAACATTAGGGAGATGACACTACTTATGAGCAAAGAGACCAAAATTAAATCAATGCGGAAAGAAAAAAAATGTTGCTTACGAACTCCAAACATATTATGCCAATGTTGATATGTATGCAACTGCAAGTGAAAAGAAAAATATCATTCTTGGCAAATATTGTAGCCACGTTGATGTCTTCTCAACATTTTAACCCACAGTCCATGCGTTCGCTGCAATGATGATTGGACTGTCTTTGAAAACGATCATGCCATTTGCTGCTAAAATAATGTTCAATTTTATATCCTAAAAATTATTACTAAAGTAAGAAAGTTTACATATCTAACACAACGTTCGTTTCGTATGCTGAGATATTAGTGTCCGCCGATGGTGTACCGACGTATATATTAATACGTCAACTTTTTTTTTCTAAAAAAATCGTTTTCACGATAAGGCGATATATATGGAGTTCAAAAAAGTTGAACTATAGAAAATTTGTTAACATCATCGACGTAAATAAGAATAAAACCCACAACGAAAAGGTTATTAAATACGAAGAATAAGATAGAACCATCGCGCGTCAAACCAGCTTTTGATTCCTTCTTAACGTCTTGTGAATACAACAGATGGGGCAACACGTCTAGCTGGGTTCGCGCAGTGTGCTGGTGCTTCATCAAGATTGTCTTATCGAGTCTACGGACCCGTTGATTTGAGTTAATCTTAAACTTTGAAAATGAATCAATTTCCCAACACAAGGAATGACTCAATGAAAAAAAAATTTCTGTATTTAACGGATGCAATAGTTGTCTCTTTAATTTTCAGCTCTCCAAGTCCAGACCTCTGCGTAATCAACAGCAAACTTTTTCGAGCAAATTTCGTGCGTATAAAATACAAAATGTTTCTCTTGATAACAGGATAAGTAAAACTTTAGAAACAACCGAGATCAAGGAGCCTACTGCCCATACCGGCTATATATTTTAATTGCGCAATATCTAAGCAACACAGTTTAGTTAAAAGATCCTTAGGGACGCCAGGGCTCTAAGATTTCCCGATTTAAGTGGATATGTTTTGAGAGAACCGTTGAATTTGAATCTAGAAGAATTTAAGAAACCGAAATAAGGAGAAAAGTTTGTACTCATAACAACTGCTATAAAATCAATGTCAACGTATTTAGAACGGATGGAAGAGAAGAAACAACAGCAATGACGACACTTCAACCATTTTCGATTGTTTGCTTTTCTTACGAACTTGAATCTGATATCAAAACACTTAATTATTTTATCTTTGCCTTCACTCAAGTTTCAATTAATTAATCAAAAATTAAATAATAATGAATAAATAATAATTATACTTAAAAAAAGTCATAAACAGGTTGAAGTTAAAGAGTTACAACGGGATAAAAAACCTATTGCAAGATACGCTTGCACACATTGTCTGAAGATGTCGCAATACCATTTGCATTCCATATTTACGGGATTTTGGTTCAGATTCTGTATATAAATTATTTTTAGATGCTATGATGAAAACTGTTATAAACACTGAAAAACAAAATTAAATTATTTTGCATTTGATACGTAATTGGCTACACTAGAAAAATATATCAGGGGTACAATAATATATACAATTTTTTAAATGACAATACTTGAGCACGTTTTTCTTACTATTGCCAATAACTAATTTTTTTGTTATAATTACGAAACATAAGCCTTTTAGACAGGGCAAGTCAAAAAAGATAAGATTGTGCACTTAAAACTATTACGGATTGTTACCTTAAGTATTTGTTTTCCCCACTTTCAAACAAACATTAATTCAGCGGAATTTTTTCTCTCCAAGTGCCTTTGTCGAAAATATTTATACTACATGCTGGTTTATCGATTTTAACGTCATATGCAAAATATACGCGATGCATTGAAGGGAAACATATAACTTATAACTTCTTTTTGATTCGGTATTGTTTTTTTTAATTATTGAAAAGTAAATTGTGGAAGGTTCAAATCTGGGAGGCTTATGAACAAACATGAAAAATGAAAAAATGTGTCATTTGATTTCACCGAACAAAGCGTAGGACAGAATTGAGAGCTTCGAGTATTTAAGAATTAAGGAGCCAACTTTTTTAAGAGGTTTAAACGTCGCAAGTACTAAAGAATAAACCAGAATTAGTGTGTCATGCATTTTAAATCTAAATTTATGTAAACAAGGGAAAAAATTACTTAAACTTTTGCTAATAAAGATGTTCTCATTAACGTCACCGTATCAGATTTTACCAAAAACTACTTTAATACATCTAAGAGACACCCTGTTGTTTGAAGTATATTGCTTTTAAATTTGGGAGTAGACTTGAACGGATTCGGTTTATTTTTCGGATTAGTATTGAGTGATTCAGAGGTTATGGGTATAAATAAGGCGAGTATAAATGAGACCAATGTATTATATACTTTGGTAGAGAATAATTGAATTAAATTGATAGACTTACGGGCCAATGACATATCGGCTGCTGTCACTTTCCCGGCTGCGTTCACATGTAATGCACGTTCGTGATTTTTTAACATTATAACATAATCGTTGGATTTCTTCGTACATGCTGTCGTTGCAAAAGCCAACATTACCTATAAACGAGAACAAAAATACGCAAAAAATAAACAAATAGAGAAGCTTACATGATTTTAACACATATATGACGTATGCATTTAAATTAGTTTTGGTGGAACTCGCTGCTTACTATTGTATAAAAATAAGTGCGCACGAGTCCCATTATTTATATTATCTGATTTGTTGATTTTGTGTACAAAGCGTAATAAAACTTGCGCAAAATCAAGAGTGGAATAATTAATGAAAGTGAATTTTGTAAGATCAACATAACTTTTATAGGAGCGTTTATTAGTTTACACTGATGTCTTGTACAAGAAGTCGAATTCACGGCTCCTATTTCTAATTCTTTTTCTAATTGGTCTCGTCAGCAATTCATACGGTTTCAAAACTTAGTAAAGATTTATACGTATTTTTGCTGGTGTATTGTAGGCAACCTTCATCCGTTCACATGATGTAATTTTTTATTCAACTTAATTTTCTAAAATTTTTGGCTGCTCCACGCCGTTTTAGGTGAAGCGAACGGTACGAGTAACCTTCCTTACCCGAGCTTACTTATAGCTCATTTTTCGTTGTCGGGATCACTTCAAATGGCTCCACCAAGCGTCCTGAAAAAAGGTTCTATTATCTTTTAGGTCACTACTTCCTATCGATTGCAGCTAAAAGTATTTTGCCTATTATTGCGGAGTGAAAACTTATTGTTTTTTGTAAGAATGTGCGAAACTACAACTCTATTTGTCAATTACTTCAACGATGACTTTTTTAAAGCAAGATCGTAGGCGGGTAGATAGACTTTCAAATATGTCTTTTATTAATTGTCTATGAAAATTCATGAAATTGGTAATTTAATGTTATCATTTTTATTGCAATACATATTAAATACTTTTTGTCATATTTTGTTTTATTATAATATATATTGAATGTTTCGTGCACATCACTCTACTTTTTTCTCGATAAGCTTTTGCAGACCGATATTAACCATTTACCCAATCTTAGAATTTATATATCAATTTTACAATTGTGGGGATCCACAAATTTGTTAGTGTTATAAAATAATTGAATCGCATATCTTTAGTATTTATAACACAACTCCACGGTTGCACGATAAAAATTTGCTATTGCATTATAACTTTTGACTTTCACTTGGAGAAACTCTTTTACAAGGGGATGGAGTAAGTTATAACGATATATCGAATATCGGAAGTCTTTTTTTAAATATGTGGCAAGCATTTGTACAATATTTCACATCATAAATTTCATTAGTGTTTCAGCTGCGCCTAGTTTTGTACGACACAAAAAGTATTTTCCCCTATCTCTACATCCAGTGACTTTGTTGAGCGAACAGGCCGCATTAAGCAGTGCTTACAAAATGATATGTTTTGTGCAAAAACGGTTAGCACGTTACAGAAGGCTGAAAAATGTGGTTTTATTTTGTAATATTAGTTACAAATATAACCGCGTAGAATGTCGGATTGTTAATTTCTCTCCGTGATAACGTTTCTGTGAGCACGTGATAACGACGTTCTGTGAACATTTGTCACCGTGCTGAGTAAAAACCATTTTCCTGAGAATGATGACAATTTTCATAGAAGTAGCTGGTAAATAAAAACCAGTTACTTAAAAAAAAAAAAATAATAATAAATCAAAGTTTTTTATTGAAATTCACGTCGATAAAAACAGTTTGAAGTGTTTATCAATTTCGTATAGTTTTATATGGCGATCAATAGGCTTACCTCTGTTTATTATCAAAACCCAATTGAAAGGCAACCGCGTGGATAAAACTGATGGATCTTGGGTACACTTTCCGTGTTTTCTTCAACAGAGATTCACATCAGAAAGTGAATGGGTGAAACATGGTCAGTGTGGAGACGACAAATAAACCTAAATATAATTTAATTGTGTAATTGCGAAGTACTTATTACATTGTTTGCGTAAGGGAGCATCTGCCATTTAAAAGGCCGTCATAAACTTAATTTTATATAAATATTGTGCAAAAACAAAGCAATTGACCCATACAAACTTTCGTATTTTCGTATTTTTTTGTTTTTGTTGCTTTATGTGCAGCGATTCCGGGGAGTATAATTTGATACGCATATATAAAATAGAAAATAGACAATGTTTCAGCTTTAATAATATAAGAACACCACGATTTCTAAAAATTATATGTATACAAATTTAAAAAAAATACAACAAATCAATAAATAAATGAACAATACGATGATTAAAAGAAATATCTTGCTAAGTCTCCGTAAGTTATTGGTTTACCGTTTGAATTCAAAAACTATACGTATTATGCGAAGTGGGTAAAATTTCAAAAAGTAACAAAACTGTTTGCATAATTACCTGATGTACAAACGATAAACTAAGTCAATTTATGTGACAAGTATGGCAAAATTTCTCGCTTTGATGGAAGGTAAAGGAGATTAAATAAAAAAATATATTGTAATTAAATTCAAGAAAAACTGCTAAAACAAGTCTCAATTTATACTGCCGTTTGTTGATCGAATTCCTCAATAGTCCTTCAATATAAATTTTACATGACCGCGAATTCAACGAACTCAGCCAACGTGGCATCTTGCATACTCAGATATCGGAAAACTAAGTTAAACGTAGTATTAGGAATTAAAACTTTGCAACCACTTTAGGTAAACTTTATTAGTTCTACATTAAGAGGTCTAGCGGTAAACAACTTCAAATTCAAAGTTCTACAAGAACTATCATCTACTTTCATTGAACTTCTGGCCATCAGACAAGCAATCCTCCATGCATCTGAAATTAAGCTGAAAAGATTTGTAGTTTTCTCTGACAGCAAATCTGCTCTAACTTTAAGCAAGAACAAAGACCCATTCAATATGCATGTCCTCGATATCTACAACCTTTGAAATGACCCAAGCATTGAAAAATGCCACATCATCTGGATCCCAGGTCACTGCGGTTTTAGTATCAATGAAAAAGCTGACTTCCATGCTCGTCAAGCTAGGTTTGATGGTACGGTTTTGTCCATAAACTACCCCCCCAGCGAAGCTTTTCTGTTAGTCAAAAAACTTATCGTAAAAGAATGGAAAGACGAGTATCATGTTTTAGCTAGAGAAAAAAGTGACCGCCTTTTTTACAAAATTTACTCTTTTTTGACACCCACACTTCTACCTAAAGGAAAATTTACATGTGTGAAGATTGCAATATTACTGAGTCTGCCGAGCACCTTATTTTTGAGTGCAGGAGGTTTGACATCCTTAGACAGTCTTTCAGTATATTTAACTTGTATAACAATTTATATGAAATTTTTCATGCTGGTAACTTTAGGCATTTGAAGCAAGTGACTGCCTTTATCAAATCAGCTGACTTTTCGTTCTAATTTTGCATTTTTAATTTCTATTACAATCACGAATCACCTATACTTTTTCTTTTGTCGGCATTTCTAGCCGGATTTTTACTATACAGTACCAAGTACGGTGATTTATGGGTTGACAGCGGAACAGAACACTCTGCTACATCAGTCTCTACCTATGCTCAAATTTTGCATCAATCGCTTTCAACTACGTTTCTGGATTATGGATCTAATATTAATTTAACTGGTTCAATCCATTTCCAAACAAATCCAAAAAAAAAAAATATGAATGTTTTAATTTCATAATAAAAATAATTATATGAATTTTTCAATTTTGCAATAACTAATTTTAATAATTTTTAACACAATAGAGAAATAATACAAATATTATTTTTATAATAATAAAAAAAAAATGAAATGACAAGTAAATAAATAAAAAAAAAAAAGTAAGAAAGTTATATTCGGTGGGGCTGAATCTTGCACACCCAGCACTATGCTTTTCGCACTATCCAAGCTTTTTTATTTGATACCGATATCGCTGGTATCATTAACAAAAAATCAACTTACGGCGCGGTGTTTTAAATGCACAAAATAATTTTAAACATTGTCCTTGTTTGCGTTATGATAAATAATCTATTTGTGGGCATGGCCGAATTTTTTTCATTTTTGCACGTGAAGAGTAGTGTGTTTCGCAAAGTAAATGTGGAAAATTTCAGTCTTGTAACTTCTATTATTTTTGAGTAACGAGCAAAAATCCACAAATTTTTGTTAAGAAAAATGGAGTTGCGTTCAACTTATGCTCCATTGCGGGCTTCTGCTCTGACCAATTTGGCCCATTTTCAATACCAACCTGCGTGCAAAGACTTTCAATTTTTCTATCAAATATATATACTCTTTAAGGTCTATGATTTTCTACCAAATGTATATACTTTATAGCGTCTGTGAAGCTTGCTTTTGGGTGTTACATACATTGTGGAAAAAACCTTACAGTGGTGGCTATAACTACATATTCATGTGTGAATAAAGAAGTTTACACATGCGCGAATTAAAATAATTGGATATATGGTGAAATGAACCTAAACATTAAATGAACTTAAATTATAAATAGAGGAAGTGAAAAGTCGGACTAGGTCGATTCATAAATACCCTATCCACAAAAATTATACTCTTATTTTATGAAATTAATATTATAGAACTGTATATTAAGCATAAGACCTCTTTGCAAATAAAGAATTACTTTCCGTAAGAATGGTGGTTAAAAAACTCAGCATTTAATTTTTATGTCAAACTACTATTACTGATCAACTTCCATCATAAAATATTAAAACGCATACTTTTTTGTCCTAAAAAATAAAAATTTTCGTGTTAATTCGACTATCTTAAACTGCTATTATGGGTTAAGTTTCATCATAACATATTACAACTTAGACTTCTCTGCGCTACAAAGAATTAACTTTCGTTAAATCCTTAGGACAGGATACAAAAAATTAGCCGAGATAGTCCAAATTTAGTACAGTTATTTTTTTATCTTAAATTACTACATGATATGAGAAGGGATTCACATCAATCTAGAAAGCCGGAATACTATTACTTAGCCGCCATTGTCGAGAAATTTTAAACATGACAATTTTTACCACACAATATAAATCATCTTCAAAGACGCCGATGGACGAAATTTCATCAAAATATCTC